GGAGCTGCATTATGTCTGCAGTCCCTGTGCAGGCAGCGCCTGAACTACCATCGAATAACGTCTTCAGTGGCTACAACTTCGGTTCATATACCACCTTCAAGGAATCAAAGAATTCCTTGTGCTGGCGGCGTTCGGCGTAACATACCATCTGCTTCGCGTTCTCCGTCCAGTATGTCTTTTTCATGCGGCGGAGCTAACGGGTCAAAGGCAGTCGAATTGTGTCAAACTTTCTCATCTTCCCCAAGTCAATGCGGGTATAAAAGCTAAAGCTTGACAAATCCCGTAGGGTGATCAGTGCGAAAATCATAGAAGTGTGAAAAATTCAATGGAAACCAATTCAGTAAAATCGTTTAACAACGAGTCACTACAAGCTTGTGGACTCACCGAGTTTGAAGTGTCAAAATAATAATCCACTATAACTCCGGAGGGGATCATGAGGTATGGAGTATTTGGTTAAAAGAGTCACCGCCCCTTGAAATTCGCATGGGGCAAAGTGTTTGTGTTTGAAGCGTCAGTGGGGTATGCCACATGTGCGGCAAATGCTGCATCCTTTTCAGACACCGATGCGCCGATCGTCACAATGTACACGTGTACATGCGCACTTCACGCATATCACGCTGATGTACGATGACATAGTCGAGCAGATGAGAGTGACCACTCTGTGGGTGCATCCAAGTCGCTATCTCATTCGCACTCAGTGCAGACCGAGTGTTCCGTGGTCGTCAGGCCGTGAGTGGAACACAGTGAGAGAAGCCTGTCGCCGTTCGCATTGGTTAAACCAATGCCGTGCGGACTGATGAGATCTGTCCATACCGATGCGTCACGCCAAACGCGCGCGTTGAAACCATCCAGCAGAAATAGTCGTTCGCTCCTCGGTACAGACCGTATCACGGTGGATAGCTGAGTGTAAAATTGATCACACGTGTCATCATGGTAACACATGGTCGGAGCGTAGGTGCTTGTAAAAGTGGCAAACTTACCTCTTCCGAGTCGTAGGCGAGCAGCCATCAGTCGCGCGCTGATGCCAGTGAGTTCATCCATCAGGTGGCCATTTAGGCGACCGGGTAGTTATGGTTTGATACTTTGGAGTTAACCTGATTGGTCGAACTACGCTCGAGGTTGACTGATTGATTAGCGGAATTCTTAATGAGTGCATTTTTCATTCTGGGCAGTTGTAGGTGGCGGTAAGGTATCAGTTTGGGGGTTCCTGGTTCTGTGAAGCAGATTCTCCGTCCGTTTTGGGGTCAGTAGCAGTCGCTTTTTGAGCCCGCTCGTGTGGTTCATTTGAGCGTGGCCGGATATGGTCAAAATGGCGGCGCACCCCACACGGCCGTTCTGCAGCTGTAGCTCCGCTTGGTTACTTGCTGAGGGCATGAGTGCAACAGGTTGCCAGCTTGTTTCCTGAGGCAGTCTTGTCTATACCGGAACAAAATCATTAAAACACATTTTCTCTGGCATCTTTTCATCCCCACATTTTCTCCTACTTTTTCTCCATTCTCCTTGGTGATTTCGGAATAAGTAGGTACAGTCTCGTTCGTAGAGGCCGACCAAACATTAATTCCGCAAGTGACCTCCCTGTCGAATCAGTCGGTGCCGTGCGGTAAAAAAACAGGAGATGATCCGACTTAGTGTGTAGTTACATAAGCCTGCTTGAGGAGACCTTGGTTAACAGTCTGGACTGCACGTCCTGCCATTCCATTCGACGCGGGATGGTACGGCGCAGAATTAATGTGGTGTATTTCGTTGTTAATCAGGAACCGTTGAAACGCTTCACTGGGAAATGGGGTTCCGTTGTCGGTGCATATCGTCTCCGATATACCGAAAATGGCGAATATGGTGCGCATTTTTGCAACTGTTGCTGCGGAAGTCGCAGGTGGAACTGGGTGTACTTCCATCCATTTAGAATGGTCATCAATCAAAAATAAACACATTGATTGAGCCAAAGTAGTCTGCGTGTACCCGATCAGGGAGATTTTTGCCTTCGGTATTTTTGACATTGTTTGCAGTGTTTCGGCAGCCGATCTATATCCTGGGCAATGTTCGGCCACCAACAGTAATTACGTGCCAGCTGCTTCATCTTGTTCACGCCGGGGTGTGTGTCATGCAGCGTTCCCAGCAACTGGGGCCGTAGTTCTTCTGGTGGAACTATGCACGAGCCACGAATCATACAGCCGTCGTAAAGACTCAAATCATTACTCCGACAGGTGAATAGTTGCAGTTCGTTTGACGTGCTTGTAGGCCATCCGGTCATCAAGAAGCGTTTCACCATCGACACCACAAGGTTCCGGTCAGTCAGGCGCCGCAGCACGGCACTCCGGATGGGTGTCTTTTCAAGGTGTTGCATCAAATTGATAAACTCCATGGGTTCAATATACGTTGTTGTGCCACGCTGCTGCGCCAAGTGACTAAGTGCATCGGCAATGGTATTACTTGGTCCGTTTATGAACAGAAGTTTATCATACTAGGCGCTCAAAAGTAGTGCCCACACTTGCATTCAAGGCGAGGACATCAGTTGGATTCCTTTCTCCTTACCCAGAAGCGAAAGAAGTGGTTTATGGTCGGTGTGGATATCAAAATGTCTTCTCCAGACGTACTGGTGAAAATGCTTGACTTCAAAAATAATCGTTAACCTCTGTCCAGTTGGGAGTAATTCATTTCAGCGGGTTGCAGGGTGTGAGATGCAAAAGCGATCGGACTGAGAGAATCGTCATCCATCCGGTGGCAAAGGACTGTGCCTACTCCGCGTAGGGAAGCACCACATTGCAGCACTGGAGGCCAGCTCGGATCGAAATGCACGAGACATGGGGAGGCGCTGAGCACCTTTTTACATCTGTCAAGGCCTTTTTTGATCCGGACCTCAAGTCCATGAGTTTTCCTTGTGCAACAGTTCGTACAAGTGTGCAAATACCGTTGAGACCTCAGGTAAGAAGCGACGATAGTGAGAAAACATCCCTAAAGGCGATCGGAGTTCAGCTTCATTCTTGGGTTCAGGTGCGACAAGGATAGGATTTACTTTGTCTTCTAACACGTGTAATCCGTTTTCGTTGAGGCGTTAACCCAAGTAACGAACGGAATCTGAGAAAAACTACTCTTGGACTTCTCAGTTTGAGTCCACTCAGTTGGAGACGTTCGAGTACAGTGGATAGCGTTTGTAAGTGTTCAGCATTTCTAGTCCTTTAATTAGAATGTAGTCGAGATAGGCGTAAATGTAAGGAATATCGTTGATTAGGTTGTCAATGATCCTTTGGAATATTGCTGGGGCCGAACTGATTCCGAAGGGTAGACGTTTGTACTGGAAGACACATGTGTGTACTTATCGTAATGTATGAGCGAGAGGTCTCGTCAAACACAATTTGTAAGTACGCGTGACCTAGATAGATCTGCGTAAACTTTTGTCCGCATGCCAGCGTAGCATACAGATCCTCTATCCAAGGTAAGGGATACTTATCCAGAAATAAACAACGATTAATAGTTAGTTTATTATCACCACAATACGCACAAAACCATGCGGCTTCAGGACTGGAACTATTGGAGCTTCCAACTCACTGTGCCGGACTGGCTCAATTGTTTCTGCTGATTGTGGCCTCTTTATCAGGTCTTCCACCTTTGATCAAAGGGAATAAGGTAGGGTACGTGCCCTGAAAAAGCGGGGCTGTTCCCGGACGTAATTGGATACTAGCCTGATATCCATGCAATTGGCCTAGTCTCTCATCAAAAACGTCAGAATATTTGTTGAGCACATTCTTCAAGCACTGATTAATGGACATGAACTTCACTGTCTCTAGCGTGGCCGAAAAGCATTTCATCCAATCGCGCGTGGGTAAGTTTGAACAATCATTCGCCATAGCATACGCCTGTAAAGTCCGCTTCTCCCCATATTTATTTACATGAACAGTGCATTTTCCCAGGACTGGTATCGGCTGCCCAGTGTACACACGCAAAGTTGATTCACAGGGGGATAACTTGGGTAATCTTTTAACTGATGTAGCAATGATTATGGCAACAGAGTCACCGGTAACAACTTCCATTTTAACCAACTGGTCATCTATTTCCGATTGCACAGTGTATTGAGGGTAAATGCTACAGATGCTCGACGTTGCGTTCCGGATCGTGTTTAGCTGGTCTACTTCGTCTGAAGACTGGACGACCTTCACGGGCTTCTTGGGAAAACGTGATGTCGCGGCTGTGCAAGCTTTAGATCAACAAACTCGGGCCAAATGCCCTAATATTCCACATTGACGGCAGATACTCTGTTTATGACGACATTCTTCGGCTGATAAACGCTGATTTTCACATCGGTAACAGGTAAAAGTCAATGCTGACCGTCTCTGAGTAGCACCTTTTCGGTCGACTGCTTGGATTGTATCTGTATGAGGTTGCAAAGAAAAAGCTGCTAACTCTTTATGGACATTCTCCAGCTGTCGAACAACATTGCAGGTCTTCTCCCACCTCATCGTCGTCTCATCTTCCGACAACAAACTTCATCAGCCTGTTCGTTACGGATACCGGATATCAAGCACTGTAAACCCATCGACTCTTTGAACTTGGTAACTGGGATTTCACTATACCGACACTCTGGCCGGGGTTCCTGAATCCGCGCAATGAAACAAATGACACTTTCTTCAGGGGTTTTACGAAAGGCCGTGAAAGAATACCGCGTAGCGTATGTGTTCAGTCGTAAATCCCATAATCTGCTGAGGACTTCTAGTGCGCTGTTGACTGTCTCTTTCTCACCGACATGGAGGGCATCAAAATGTCTTTGGTCCTCATCCCCCAGAAATTGTCGAAATAATTTAAATTTTGTGGCTCTCTGAGTGTAGTGTTTGGTTGCAAGACGGGTAGTAGCTCCAAATAATACAGGTTCCAGGTAGCCGGTGTGAGTTTCGCAGAAGGAATATTACAAAGTGGTGTAAGAAGGTGCAACATCGTGGTAGTTTAACCTCGTCGCCAGAATGTTAAGTATAGTCCTTAGCCGATGAACGGAACAGAACGCACACGCGTAGTATGGAACCGATTTACTAAAAGACTCCTGTGTTACAGTGGCGAGTGTCTGTGTTCAAGAATCGATACCCAAGTGCATACGTAACATTAAGGTAGCGAATATATTTTCGGTCACGACCTAGACTTTGTTCTTGACGCATGAAGGGCCACGTGACATGCTCCTCTGCACAACAAGCATGTCGATATCAGTGTTTAGTTACGCATCACTTAACAACAGCAAGTGGCCGATGTGCGGGCGCTTCGAATTCATAGTGTAAATTTAATGGCTTCTATCGAAAATATAACTAAGCACTAGTGGACAAATTTCGCTGGCAGTTGTACAAAAAGCTGTGAATCAGAGATCAAATTTAGATAGAAGCATTTTGAGAAGGGCACGAAATCCGAATCAAAAGTGTCTACTACCCGGTCGGCTGATTCCATGGTAAGATGAGGTTGGGGTTTTACAATTGACTAGAAACTGTTGCAATACTACGCGTGCCGAGTCCATAGTAGTAGGAATGCGAATGTGTTATACAGATTGAATGACAAAATGAGACATACACTGGGATGGAACGGAAAACATGTATGTCCAAAAGAAATAGAGGTGCAAAACGACATGGATGAATGGAGAAAAGAAAAGCTCAGTCGCTTGATCAAAATTGCTCACTGAAATCTATATCAATAGCATCCATAATGCCAGCAAGGAACAGGTCATCATCTGTTACATCTGGAACATGGAATGAATTATGTGATGCGGTATCATGAAGTCTTGTGTTGGTTGGTGCCAAACTGCACAGATCTCTGGGTATCGGCCAAGCTGTAGGTTACCAAAACAAAGACATCAACATAGCGCATGAGTTGAAAAGCAGAAATAGGAGTGAAACAGCTAGGTATGATGTCTTGATGGTGGAAAGCTAACGGAAAGAAAAAAGCGAATGCCAAGATAAATTCAGCCATTTAAAAAACCGGATTGATATTCAGGGTGCAATCTGGCTGATTGCACGCTGCATATTACTGCACTGAGGATGACCCCTCGCATAGGGACGAAACGTAAGCAACCAAATTGCCAAGCTGGGAGAACAAATGAACAATCGAATCGTCAACCCAGTACAAGTACTCCAAAACATGTTAAGCTAACTTCGTTCGTCCTTTACAGAACAAGTGGGTAGGTCAGATGTGTGGTAGCATCACAGCACGTCTTTTGTCTGTACTCTGGAGTACATCACCAGTGTTTACATCTCTGATCGTATTCGCTAATCTGAGCATTGTGAAGGGGCCGTCCGACTGGGGCACACATGTTTCGTGTCGTTCTTTAAATTCACGCTGGTGGAGTGGCGGCGTTCGATCCATGCCTAGAGAAGTAACGCAATAATCCGGTTCGCTAGAGGTGCTCCGACCCCACGCAGTTTTAATCTGGCTTATCTGCCACTGCTATCTGATAGATTTCATAGTACTGTTAACCTCCAAATAACGAGGACTTGGTCAGCGCGAAAAAAACATGTACTGAAATCTCCCAACCGGATGTGATTTAAAATTGTAAAGATGGATGAGAGATTCTGAAGATGAATTTTTAAGCGGTTGGAAAGTCTACTGCTTTTATGAGCACAACAACGCAAACATCCGAAAGGTCATGAAAAACTTGCTGGATAGACGATCTCAGCTGACGCGAAAAGCAATCAAAAGAGGCGAATGTCATGTGGAGCACTGTACCCACATCGCTTTTGCGATGTCAAATTAGCCATCAAATGAGTCAGCACACGCGCCGATTTTGTAACACCACAAGGTGGAAAGCCAACTTCGATGAATGTGAAAACGACACTTACATTGGGATCGGAAGTTGACAGCGCGACAGTCTGGATCCAGGCACTTCTGATAAAAACAGCCTCCGTCCAAATCAAAAACAAGGCTAAAAATGATATTAATGACCGTATACATTAAGCACGGAAATCGACATGGAAAGTATGTCTTCGAAAAGTAACGAAACGCTCATTTGACCAAACTGTTGGAGTCACCCTGCATAGTGATCCACGTTTTTAAGCAATCATGACGTAAGAACGTGTACCAAAGCCGTCAGTCTTGGCAAACAAACAGGTGGACGGACACTAAGGGGGAGAGAAAGCAGCTCGCCGGTAGTAAATAACGAGTGGTGTGTAAAAATAAGTAGTCATTCTAGACGAAGCCGCAAACAACACGTATCTATCGAGTATGTATTGCCTATTTGCCATAAAATTCTAGTCTGCCTATTACAAACAAACCAAATTTTTCAATGTAACCGGCGTTATTCATTGGTAGAGATGAGGATATCATTGCGATGAGGGTGACTGGTCACTAATCAGATATGACTAAAGCGAACTTAATGCCCAATACCACTGTCCTTTGGAACAGTGTAAACATAGCCACGAGTACTATATAGCGACACATGAGAAAAACAGGAAAACATATAAATACTAACATTACTCGGAAGAAATATCTCGAATGGGTGGTAAAAAGTTACGATGGGACCCAAACGAAGCTGGAAGTATCTGGTACGAAAACCAGCTGAGAGACCAGCGAGAGACGTTAAATTTGGAAAAACTGGGCTTAGCTAACCCTGTTCGAAGCGAAACGGAAGTACAGTGTCGAATGTGCTTCAAGCTGAATGAGGTGTCATTAGCGCATACATTCGGCAACAGTAAGCCTCGTAGGCGCATGGTGGCAACGACGACCTCAGTGGAGTGGTTCGTGCTTAACACAGCGCCGTAAACAAGGGCAAAGCGCACGGCTTAAGGGGCATAGAACGCTAAAATATGAAAGACTGTTGAGAAACCAGTTTTGATAATATGAAGATGATGCGGTAAAGAAATTATGGGTGTCATAACAATTTGAAGATGCGCAAGGTGGACGAAAGAAGAAACAGTGTGCCTGGATAAAAATGCTGAACACGAGAAAACCGTGTTGGGTCAGAGTGGGTTGCTGACAAACTAAGAAAAAAAGAGAAGAAAAAGAAGTTAGCGTAGGGAGGAATTTTATAAAGCAAGCCTTTGGAGTTGAGACGCCTACCGCTTGCTAGTGGCGCGGTGTGATAAGTTATCACCATCATCAATACACGTTAATTGAAAGTAATAAACACACTTCAACTAATGTGCCGCAATACAATAGATATATAGAGAAAGGGGATACAATGCATCACAGAATAAAATAAAAAACTAAAAGGTACCATTGTACATAGTGTCATATTAAGTAGCAAGTATGAGAACGCGGTTTGATGAGTGGGACGAAGAAACTCACAACACAAACGTCATGGCGGTCGTCTCTTCTTCATGTCAACCAGTGTGTCAACCCAAACGTGATCATAATACTTCGGACTCCAGAGAGGTAAGCGAGAAACGCTAACGGACGCCAAGTTCGAAGTGAGGGTTTTCATGCCTCCTGATCAGATCATCGCCTGGCCTCCATTCCTCTTTTTCCATCCAGACCCCGGTCGCAAAACAACGCGCTTCGCGGGAGTAGGTGTGCTGGCATGCGCAACACGTGGTCTAGCCATCGGTGCCGTATATATCGGTGCTGAGCGGTTCACTTGCTCTTCCGGTACCAAATACACGAAGCCAAACACGCTCATTACTCATGCAGTGCTTCAACTAGACATGAGTTAAGCAGCAACAGCAACTAGCTTCTTTATATCTACGGACCGGATGGACTAGGTTTCGCATCTGAACAGTAGGGTTGATCGGATCAATGCATTGTAAACTCTCTCTTGCAGGTCGAGAGTGATGTCGAGTCCGCGACACAGGTGGCGGAGATTGCAACAACACCTCGAGCTTTGCTGGTGCACGAATTCTCACTTGGCCTAAAACGCAGCGCTGGTAAACTGGGCACCATTGCCGGTGAGCAGTATACCGTGCCGCGTGAATTGACACTTCAGTTTGATGAGTACTGCTCCTGTGGTCGCAGTAGTGAGTAAATCAATTCCAAAATAATTACTATAGTAATCCACTTTGAGTGGGTAATCTTTTCTGTTGATACAATGTAGGGCGGCGGAATCCAGTGAATACTCGTGAACCGGAACGACAACAAAAACGAAATAGTAGACAAGTAACAACGAGCGCAATGGATGAGACGGGACAAGGCACTGCGAGCGGTGCGGATCGAGACGACCATGGAGCACGGGCAGCATCTGGTAACGAGCCTGGTCCCAGAACAACGGAGGAGTAGGATTATGTAACGCCCAGGCTACATTTAGACGCCTAGGGTTGACGGTGTTGGAGAACATACAAGGCGTGGTTATCTACGGTGATGACATCATCATCTTCTCAGTTACAGAGCACGAATGTGGTACCAGGGTTGCAGCAGTACCACGAAGATTGAAAGAAGCTGGTCTGAAACTCAGTCGCAAGAAGTCCCAGATTCCTCGGAAGTCGATTGTATGTCTGGGCCACATTGTGGGCAATGGTCAAATCCATCCGCTTCCGGAAAAACGCAAGACGATCAAGTGTTGCATTGGCAAAATTCAAGCGTCAGTTCCGTTCGTACCTGGGAGTAGCGCCTAATGACTCAAAATTTGTGCCCCATTTTGCAGAGAATCAGACCATTGTTAAAGCTGCATCACAAAGACGAACCGTTCTTGTGGACAGCCGACACGGATCAAACATTTAATCATCTAAAGGCATGCATGGCAGAAGCCCCAACATACCCACGGCTACCCAATCTAGATGAGAAATTCACTGTGGCAGTCGACGCAAGCAATGTGGCAATCGGTGCGGTATTGTCCCAACCAACTGGGGTGGTGGAATATGCGAGTAGAATACTGACAGTGTAGGAGCAGAAGTATTCCACAAAGGAGAAAGAATGTCTGGCCATCGTGTGAACCTTGGATAAGTAAAGAACTTACCACTTAGCGACCGAATTCTGGTCGCCACTGACCATAAACCACTTTCATAGTTGATGACAGCGAAAGACCCACGGAGACGCCTCAGGTGGTGGGCATACCGACTGCAAGAATTTAACTTCACCATCGAGCACGTAGACGGAACGCAGAACAAACTACCCGATATGCTGGTACGCCCATCGTTGGACGACCTCATGCCGGACAACGCTATACCGGTGGGCGCGGTCACAGTGGAGGAGAGGAACCTGATGACCGATCAAAGGACAGATGAATTTGTGAGACTACTGTGCTCTCACTTACAGGCCGGCACCATGCCGGAGGCCAGATCAGGAGAGGTGGAGGAACTTCTTAGGATTTGGGACAGACTGGGAGTCGAAAACGATAATGTGGTGGTTGCGACAGAAGGAAGGAAATTACCTTTTGTTCCACCGAATCAGCGAGAAAGCGTGATGCGAAGAACGCATGACGGCACCCATATGGCATTCGAAAGTCTTTGAATTGCTAAGGAGAAGAGTGCTTTGGCCTACCATGAGGAAGGACGTCGCAGCATACCTCCGGGGATGCTTCAACAACCAAACGAGTCGCGAGATGGATGCACCGAGACCACCGATGCGCTCGATGGAAGTTAATGAGCTACTTCAGTGTTCGGAACTGGATGTCTTTGGACCCTTACCAGTGTGTCGATCAGGAAGCAGATACGTTATAGTGATGGTCGACCAGTTGACTGGCTGGGTGGAAGCCATACCAATCAAGCGTCAGACAGGCGAGACCGTGTCGCAGGCATTGGAATTCAATGTATCAGCAAGGTATGGAATACCACAATATGTTCTTATCGACCAAGGGCACTGCTTTGAGCCTAAAGCGTTTATGGCGGTTTTGGACAAGTGGGGCATCCAGAGGCGACGCACTTCCCCGTACCACCCACAGGCCAACGGAATGACAGCGGTTCAACTGGACCATGAGGACGTGGATAAACTGTACCAGGTTGGCATGGGAGGAAGCATTGCCTGAAGTTCCGTTTGCGTACCGGACCAGCACGCAGTCGACCACCAAGGTTTCACCATTCGAATTATAGTTTGCAGAGAACAACGGATGGCGCTCGATACGTGTTTAGCGAAACCGAGGGAGTGCGAACATCCGACACTGCATCACGTAAGACTGCAAGCGACTGCTAGCAGTGGAACCAAAGTCCGACAAGCACGCAATAAGGGGACTTGTGATGCTAGGTATGAGGCTCACAAGTGGATGCCGTTCAGGACTGATGAATAAGTCAAGATACGGAACAACGATCAGCCAGATAATGAAGGCCCAGATGCGGGCAAGTTCAGGGAATGCTGAAAAAGTCCTTACACCGTACTCGATCGGAAAGTAGCAAACTTGCAAAACGACAGCGGAGGAACGAAGCGCTGGGTGAACGCCGCCCTTCTACCACCATTGTACGAGAGTGAAAAACAACTTCGAGAAGAGGCGGTTGTAGGGCGGCGGAAGCCAGTGACTACTCGTGAACCGGAACGACAACAAAAACGGGATTGTAGAGAATTAACAAGGGACGCAATAAATGAGACGAGACAAGGCACTGAGAGCAGTGCGGATAGAGCAGTCAGCGAATCACGGGCGGTATCTGGTAATGAGCCAGGGCCCAGAACAACGGAGGAGGTATTTGTCGAGCACACAATGAATCAGGCAAATACGCCGCTAGCGAAACCCACAGGGTTCAACGCGGGCCGAGTGATGCCGCCACTGGAGAGCAAATCGCGAGCTTTCGAACGACTCATGGTCGGCCAGAATCGGATGTAGCGAAGCGGAGATACGGGATGGAAACATGGAGGGGTTGTTTCTACGCCCAAACTCGTAGGCACCTGGAATGGCCCGTCACACAAATCATCGTCCGCGTTGCGTTGTGGGAAGGAAACATGGTCCAACTATGTACGGGTTTGTGAGTAGTCAGTTGTACGTTCTTGTGGCGATACAGGCTCTGCCCTCCCCCCTCATCGTTTTCGCAACAAGATAACAGGTCCAGCGCCACCTGCTACAGTCGATCA